CGTTATGAGTCGGATAGTGCTCTGCCAAAGTCTTTCGGAATAAGGCTGTCAAGCACCCACCTTTATCTTCCCTGAAATGCTGCCAAAGACCTAATTGGCAATTAGCTTGGCAAAGCCACATGGAGCAAAGAGTCAAAATGGAGCTTCAGAATTAAACCACCACGAGCAAAGTTGCTTCCTGCAAAGGCTCATGTGCCTTTGCTCCTCCTTTATGTTCTATGGGAGGGGACAATCACCTCCAAGCCTTACTCCCAAGTCATCCCTTTTGTTTTAACTGTTCCTGCCTTCTGGCAGCTCTGCGCATGCAGCACTGGGAACAGGTTCCCCCTGTTCCTCTTCCTCACTGATGTCTGACTCCGGAGGCACCGGATGCAGCACATAACTCCCAGATGGCCCTGGCCCCCTCTCTGTCTCTGACACAGAGCCCTCATCCAAGCCTTCCCCAGACTCAAGGACTGGCCCATGTTCCTCCCCAACCTTCTCACTGTTTGACTCTGCCGCCAGCTCCACAGGCCACCAGTGGATCACAGCACTTATTAGGGTTCCAATTACTTTCCCAAAGGAGTGAAGTGAAGCGAACCAATAAAGGAGAAAAACACTTTCCCCTACCTTCGTCACGTTTCCTCTTCTCACCATTTGATCGAGGAATCCCCAGAATCCCATTAATGGAGTAGGAGCCCACTGGATCATTGGAGGCACTGGAGACAGGAGGGGAAGCTGTACTGGGAACTGGACAAAATGAGAAAGGAAAAGGGCTCAGAAGAGTAGGAGCCAACAGCTAGGAAGTGACATATATCCCCAACCTCATTTAAGACCTTTGCCAAGAGACCAGTTCCAGTTAAGCCAAGATCCAGAAATATGTGCTTCAGCCAGTTCGCACCGGTTCGGGCGCACCGGTAGCGGCAGCAGAGGGAGGATCTTTCCACCTGCCTGCACGTCATCACGTCCCATTTTTGATGGGACCTATGCATGTGCAAAGGTGGCAAGCATGAGCGGAATGAACGCACGAGCAAGCGTGCTCACATTTGCGAACTGGTAGCGAAGGTAAGTGAATACCACCCCAGGCTTAAGAGTGTCACCAATTGTGAATCACTTTCAAAAAAATGCCTCTGTGCCTTACATTGCCTATCTTAATATTTCCAAGTCTAACTAGAATTTAGTAATGGGAAACTCCATTATTAAACTTGGCTTATCTGATGTGGGTGTTTGCAGCTGGAACCGAAACTTGGCTGCTGGTGGGATGATGCCTCTTTCCAGCCCTATTTTCCAGCTGTAAGATTTGTCATTGGGGATGGGGGAGAGAGATACAAAAAGGCAGAGGGCCATTTGAGGGCCAAAATTGTGGGAGAGCATGGGTGAACATGTACTTCCACTGTATTCCTAATTAGCTTTGTACTGTAGCTTCATCGTAATATTACTGTGTTTCCCTGAAAATAAGATAGGGTCTTATTTTCGTTTGACCCCTGAAATAAGAGCTTGGCCTTATTTTCAGGGAGGTCTTATTATTCTTGAGGTCAGTTCATGGCTGATGCTGTGTTGCAATATTTTCAAGGAGGGCTTATTTTAGCACATGTGCTCAAAAGCCCGATTGGGCTTATTATCTGGGGAGGTCTTATTTTCAGGGAAACAGGCGATAGTCCAGGGGTCACCAAACTTTCAGACCTCAGGGACCACTAAATTCATAATTTTAACTCCCATGGACCACTAATATTAATTTTTTAAAAAGATAAATAGTATAGTGCAATATAAAAAATGCAAATATTTTTTCTGTGGACCACCAAAATTTTCTCGCAGACCCCCAGTGATCCACGGACCACTGGTTGGTGACCACTGTTTCAGTCCATTTATTGTAATAGAGTTCTTTTTCAAACAAATCATAGAACCACAGAATCACAGAATCATATGGCTTGAAGGGTCCTTAAAGGTCTTCCAGTCTAACACCCTGCCCAAGACCTTATTCCATCCTGGACAAATGTTTCCTATCTTTTCTTGAAAACCTCCAGCAACAAAAGATTATGCAGCCATTTGTCTGGGATGGAATTAATTCTTCTGCCTTGGGCAAGAGGTTGTATTGTAAGAGCTCCAAGTCTTCATGAAATGCTGTTTAAGTAATCCTAAATTAACCTATCGAATCATCAGAGACTTTTGCCCCTATTTTTTTACTTGCATTTTTACCTGCTTTGGAACTGCTAGGTTGGCAGAAGCTGGGACAAGTAATGGGATATTTTTTAATATTTTTTAATATTTAAAAAATGCTTAAAAAGTAAAAAAAAAAGTTCTGAAAATCAGTTGTGCGATGTGCGATCATCAGAACTGGTAGTAAAATAAATAGAAACCCACCACTGGAGAGAATGCAACCCAAACACTGCCAAGAGACATTTTTTTAGGCCAAATGATACAAAGGAAGTCTTTCAAGTCCTTCAATTTTCATCAAAGGACTGCCAGGAAAAAAAATTATCCACATCCGTTACAATTTCTTCGATGACCATCCCTAAATTGAGCGACTGACCTACTGGCTTCTACAGGGGTAGCTAAACTTACAATAAATGTGAGATAACTTTTTTTCTGTCAGTTTCCTGGTGAAGACCTAATTGCTTAAAATCTATTGGGATTTATATCGCTTCCTTGAGCTAATAATTTTGTTTCTAGAACCTGTTACATTTCTGTTTGCATTGTGCTGTTTCCTTTTAATGCAGTCAACACAGACATGTCTTACAAAAAATAATAGTTGATAGATGTCCTGCAATAATAGATTGTGCTATTCATGTGAAAAATATTATTCTTCAAAGCCAGAATTTTAACAATTTTAACTTCTATAGAATGATAGAAGGAAAGGATTCAGGAACTAAAGTAGCCCTTTGCTATGAAGAGAAGTTTCATCTACATTACAGTATATTTATCTGGCCCAGCTTCAGAAAGTATTTCTGGTCAATCTGTAGACTTGGAGCAAGCCAATAAGATCTCCAAATTCAATCATTCTCTGGGCAGGAATCTACATTAAAACATTTCAGAACAAGGGCTGTTTAGCCTTTAAAGGTAAAGTAAAGGTAAAGGTTCCCCCTCGCACATATGTGCTAGTTGTTCCCAACTCTAGGGGGCGGTGCTCATTTCCATTTCAAAGCCAAAGAGCCAGCGCTGTCCAAAGACGTCTCCGTGGTCATGTGGCCAGTATGATTAAATGCCAAAGGTGCACGGAATGCTGNACTAGACATACCCAGTTCCAGGAACCGTTCTTCATATGTTTTTTCCTTGAGTCCCCTAATCATCTTTGTTGCTCTTCTCTGCAGCCTTTCTAGAGTCTCAACATCTTTTTTACATCTTGGCGACCAAAATGAATAGAATGGAGGCCACTGAAATAATGGGGCCAACTAGTATCCTACTAAATTTCTCTTTTAAAGATTGGACTCTTACTCTTACATCCTTTCCTGATACTGAGGGTCTGGTCTTCTACAATTATAGGTAGTCCTCAACTTACAGCCATTTGTTAAGTGACCCCTGAAAAAAGTGTCTTATGACCACTTTTCATAAGTACAATAGTTGCAGCATCTCCATGGTCACATGAGCAAAATCCAGATACTTGGTGACTGGCATGTATTTATGATGGCTACAGTGTCCTGGGCTCATGTGACAACCTTTTGAGATCCTCTGACAAGCAAACTCTATGAGGAAGTGAGATTCACTTAACCATTGTGTTACTAACTTAACAACTGCAGTGATTCACTTAACAGCTGTGGCAAGAAAGGTCATAAAATAGGCCAAAATCCACTTCACAAATGTCTTGCTTAGCAAAGGAAATTTGGGCTCAATAAATCCAGGACTACCTGCAGTTCCAGCAGAAATAAAATTGCTTTGATAGGAGCCTTTATCCACATGTACAATCACCTAGCCATGCTTACAGCTGCATTCTGACTGCTCCACTCAGTGAGACTTGCTTTCAAAAAATATTCTGAATTATGATACTCAAAATGCTTTCCTACTTTATTTTAAATAGTTTCTCAGCTTATTGTTCTGACCTAGGCTTCCTGATACAGTAAAAAGCACATGCTTAGTCCCCCAAACCCTTTTTTATTTCAAAGGTTGTGAATTAGGTTCATTCACAGCCCGTTATGAGTCGGATAGTGCTCTGCCAAAGTCTTTCGGAATAAGGCTGTCAAGCACCCACCTTTATCTTCCCTGAAATGCTGCCAAAGACCTAATTGGCAATTAGCTTGGCAAAGCCACATGGAGCAAAGAGTCAAAATGGAGCTTCAGAATTAAACCACCACGAGCAAAGTTGCTTCCTGCAAAGGCTCATGTGCCTTTGCTCCTCCTTTATGTTCTATGGGAGGGGACAATCACCTCCAAGCCTTACTCCCAAATCATCCCTTTTGTTTTAACTGTTCCTGCCTTCTGGCAGCTCTGCGCATGCAGCACTGGGAACAGGTTCCCCCTGTTCCTCTTCCTCACTGATGTCTGACTCCGGAGGCACCGGATGCAGCACATAACTCCCAGATGGCCCTGGCCCCCTCTCTGTCTCTGACACAGAGCCCTCATCCAAGCCTTCCCCAGACTCAAGGACTGGCCCATGTTCCTCCCCAACCTTCTCACTGTTTGACTCTGCCGCCAGCTCCACAGGCCACCAGTGGATCACAGCACTTATTAGGGTTCCAATTACTTTCCCAAAGGAGTGAAGTGAAGCGAACCAATAAAGGAGAAAAACACTTTCCCCTACCTTCGTCACGTTTCCTCTTCTCACCATTTGATCGAGGAATCCCCAGAATCCCATTAATGGAGTAGGAGCCCACTGGATCATTGGAGGCACTGGAGACAGGAGGGGAAGCTGTACTGGGAACTGGACAAAATGAGAAAGGAAAAGGGCTCAGAAGAGTAGGAGCCAACAGCTAGGAAGTGACATATATCCCCAACCTCATTTAAGACCTTTGCCAAGAGACCAGTTCCAGTTAAGCCAAGATCCAGAAATATGTGCTTCAGCCAGTTCGCACCGGTTCGGGCGCACCGGTAGCGGCAGCAGAGGGAGGATCTTTCCACCTGCCTGCACGTCATCACGTCCCATTTTTGATGGGACCTATGCATGTGCAAAGGTGGCAAGCATGAGCGGAATGAACGCACGAGCAAGCGTGCTCACATTTGCGAACTGGTAGCGAAGGTAAGTGAATACCACCCCAGGCTTAAGAGTGTCACCAATTGTGAATCACTTTCAAAAAAATGCCTCTGTGCCTTACATTGCCTATCTTAATATTTCCAAGTCTAACTAGAATTTAGTAATGGGAAACTCCATTATTAAACTTGGCTTATCTGATGTGGGTGTTTGCAGTTGGAACCGAAACTTGGCTGCTGGTGGGATGATGCCTCTTTCCAGCCCTATTTTCCAGCTGTAGGATTTGTCATTGGGGATGGGGGAGAGAGATACAAAAAGGCAGAGGGCCATTTGAGGGCCAAAATTGTGGGAGAGCATGGGTGAACATGTACTTCCACTGTATTCCTAATTAGCTTTGTACTGTAGCTTCATCGTAATATTACTGTGTTTCCCTGAAAATAAGATAGGGTCTTATTTTCGTTTGACCCCTGAAATAAGAGCTTGGCCTTATTTTCAGGGAGGTCTTATTATTCTTGAGGTCAGTTCATGGCTGATGCTGTGTTGCAATATTTTCAAGGAGGGCTTATTTTAGCACATGTGCTCAAAAGCCCGATTGGGCTTATTATCTGGGGAGGTCTTATTTTCAGGGAAACAGGCGATAGTCCAGGGGTCACCAAACTTTCAGACCTCAGGGACCACTAAATTCATAATTTTAACTCCCATGGACCACTAATATTAATTTTTTAAAAAGATAAATAGTATAGTGCAATATAAAAAATGCAAATATTTTTTCTGTGGACCACCAAAATTTTCTCGCAGACCCCCAGTGATCCACGGACCACTGGTTGGTGACCACTGTTTCAGTCCATTTATTGTAATAGAGTTCTTTTTCAAACAAATCATAGAACCACAGAATCACAGAATCATATGGCTTGAAGGGTCCTTAAAGGTCTTCCAGTCTAACACCCTGCCCAAGACCTTATTCCATCCTGGACAAATGTTTCCTATCTTTTCTTGAAAACCTCCAGCAACAAAAGATTATGCAGCCATTTGTCTGGGATGGAATTAATTCTTCTGCCTTGGGCAAGAGGTTGTATTGTAAGAGCTCCAAGTCTTCATGAAATGCTGTTTAAGTAATCCTAAATTAACCTATCGAATCATCAGAGACTTTTGCCCCTATTTTTTTACTTGCATTTTTACCTGCTTTGGAACTGCTAGGTTGGCAGAAGCTGGGACAAGTAATGGGATATTTTTTAATATTTTTTAATATTTAAAAAATGCTTAAAAAGTAAAAAAAAAAGTTCTGAAAATCAGTTGTGCGATGTGCGATCATCAGAACTGGTAGTAAAATAAATAGAAACCCACCACTGGAGAGAATGCAACCCAAACACTGCCAAGAGACATTTTTTTAGGCCAAATGATACAAAGGAAGTCTTTCAAGTCCTTCAATTTTCATCAAAGGACTGCCAGGAAAAAAAATTATCCACATCCGTTACAATTTCTTCGATGACCATCCCTAAATTGAGCGACTGACCTACTGGCTTCTACAGGGGTAGCTAAACTTACAATAAATGTGAGATAACTTTTTTTCTGTCAGTTTCCTGGTGAAGACCTAATTGCTTAAAATCTATTGGGATTTATATCGCTTCCTTGAGCTAATAATTTTGTTTCTAGAACCTGTTACATTTCTGTTTGCATTGTGCTGTTTCCTTTTAATGCAGTCAACACAGACATGTCTTACAAAAAATAATAGTTGATAGATGTCCTGCAATAATAGATTGTGCTATTCATGTGAAAAATATTATTCTTCAAAGCCAGAATTTTAACAATTTTAACTTCTATAGAATGATAGAAGGAAAGGATTCAGGAACTAAAGTAGCCCTTTGCTATGAAGAGAAGTTTCATCTACATTACAGTATATTTATCTGGCCCAGCTTCAGAAAGTATTTCTGGTCAATCTGTAGACTTGGAGCAAGCCAATAAGATCTCCAAATTCAATCATTCTCTGGGCAGGAATCTACATTAAAACATTTCAGAACAAGGGCTGTTTAGCCTTTAAAGGTAAAGTAAAGGTAAAGGTTCCCCCTCGCACATATGTGCTAGTTGTTCCCAACTCTAGGGGGCGGTGCTCATTTCCATTTCAAAGCCAAAGAGCCAGCGCTGTCCAAAGACGTCTCCGTGGTCATGTGGCCAGTATGATTAAATGCCAAAGGTGCACGGAATGCTGGGACAAATAATAATGGCTCACTCCATTACACGGCGCTAGGGATTCGAACTATCGAACTGCCAACCTTTCTGATCAACAAGTTCAGCATCTTAGCCACTGAGCCACTTTTATCCTTTACTTCACTGGTGGGTTCCTACTGGTTCAGACCAGTTCAGATGAACCAATAGTGTTTTGGCAGCCTGGGTTGCTGGAACCGGAAGCCTTCCACACCTCCAAACAGGTTCCCTGGTTGGCATCGTCAATGCTGTCTTGTTCTTCAGTTCTGCACATGCGCAGAACAAGTGAAGTGCACACACGAGAAAACCGGCAGTAGTGCCAGAACCTATCCCTGCTTTACTTCTATATAATCTATATTATCTATATAATTCTATATAATCTAGCTTCCTCCTCTTGAACTGCAGGTACAGAAATATAGAACCATGTTAGTCTATGGTGGCAAAAGAAATCTGGTAGCACTTTTTTCAAGCAACATTGAAAAATAGTTGGAGAAGGTACTACCAGCATTTCTTTTTCAGTAACACCAATCTGTCTTAGCCTTTTGATATCCTTTACAGTATTTAAAGAGTGTCATCAGATCATTCATCAGTCTTCTCAGAGCTAACTATTTCTGGTTTCCTCTTCTAGATCTCTCTTCTAGACTAGTTCCTATTCATCTGTCTTGTCTATCTGAATTCCATGTTTCTTTATTGCTTCACCGCGTGGTGTCTAAGATTTAATACAAAAATCAGATGCAGCGTGAGCCAATACAGAATGAAATGGAAAAATGACTTCCTGTGTTTTAGGAAATATATATTTTGTTAATATAAAACTGTATTTGCTTTTTTTTTTTGCATTCATATTAAGCTATTGAGTCATATTCAATTTGTCAGTTACATTTCCAACAGCTTTTCTGCAACAGCTATGACCTAGTCAGAAATCAACATCTTATAGCTCTTCGCTCGATTTCTGCCTCCAGTGAAGAATTTTGCCTTTGTCTCTATTAAATTTCATAGTTATTTAGGTTTTTGTGGAAATGTTCTATCTACTGCTGTACCCTTTCAAAAACATAAGCATTCCTATGTATTTATCCAAGTCTGCTAAAAAAAAACATTCCCAGCATTGAATTTTATGATATCCCTCTTGATACTATTCTTAGTTTTGATGATGAGCATTGGTGAATACTTTTTGAGGGCGACCATTGGTGATTAGGGGGATAGAAGTTGAAACATACAATGCATGTTTGCAGGAAGTAGGTAAGTTTAGTTTAATGAAGAGAAGGACTAGGGATAACCTGATAGCAGTCTTCCTAAATTTGAGAGGCTGTCCCAGAGAAGAAGGGATCAATGTATTCTCCAAAGCACCTGAATACAGGACAAGAAGTAATGGATGACAACTTATGAAGGAGAAATCCAACCCAGAACTAAGGAAAAATTTCCTGACAGTGAGAACAATTAATCAGCAGAATGGCTTGCCTCCGGAAGTTGTGGATGCTTCATAACTGGAAGTTTTTAAGCAGAGATTGAACAGCTATTTGTCCACAATGGTATAGGGTCTCCTGCTTGAGCAGGGGTTTGGACTAGAAGACCTCTGAGATCCCTTCCAACTCTGTTATTCTGTTATTTTTTGTTTTGAGCCAGGTGTATATCTATTTCAACTGCCTTAGGAAGTAGTGAGGATTGTCACACAATCTGTTTGAAATAATTCTTTGTTTTTATTAATGCACCAAGAGTCAAAAAAATACTAAAAAGTGCCAGTTTTAGAGCATGACCCACTTCTTGTTTGGAAGTATAGAATGTCAAAGGAGAAAAAGAATATTTAAGTCACCATTAGGAAGTCATTCCTAATAGTGAGCACAATCAACCAATGGAATAGCTTGCCTTCAGAATTTGTGAGTATGCCATCACTGGAGGCTTTCAAAAAATGACTGAAATGGTATAGGTCTCCTGGTCAAGCAGAGGGTTGGACTAGAGGACCTCCAAGGTCCCTTCCAATTGTGTTATTCTATGGTCTATGTTCTTTTTAATAAGTACATTACTAAACAATTCAAAGATTATCCTTTATTCAAGATTACATCTCCTTAAATACGATACATTTAATGCAGAGGTGTGTTCCTACTGGTTCGGACCGGTTTGGCTGAGTAGGTAGTAACTTGGCCTGCCACACCCCCGAATCGGTTCTATCGGCGCCGGCGCCATCTTGATTTTTGGTTCTGCGCATGCACAGAACAATCTTCATTGCAAAAAATTTTTCCCCCTTTTCTAACATTATGCGCATGCTCAGACCTTTTTAGGTGCAAATGTGTGTGCGCGCAAAAAATCTGCACGCTGAACCAGAAGTATTGCCGGTAGCAACCCACCCCCGATTTAATGCCAAAAATATCATATATTAATTTCCAGCCCCATTTTCCGATGTGATTTATCTTTTTAAAAAATTTAAAAATCCAAATGTGTTGAATATTGACTTGAAACAAATAACAATTTATTTCAGTTATTTCCTTGATGTAATCTTGTGGACTAGGAAACTCGGACTTGGAATTCCTGCACTAAATTGTGAATTTGGTTGCAGGGTTTCTTCATGGTTGTACAGTATTTCATTTTCAAAGAGCTGTATTACTGTTTATGTTGGCTCTTCTGCAGGGGTGGTATTCACTTACTTTCCCTAGCGGTTCGCAAATGCGAGCATGCATGTCGATGCATACGATCAGCCTTCCACACATGCGCTTTAATCCTGCATGTGGCTTGCATACATGCATGCAGCTTGAAAATGTGACTAAATAGGATGTCATGGGCGCGATTTCCACCTGCGATTTCCACTACCGGTTTGGACAAACCAGTACAAACCGGCTGAATACCACCTCTGCTCTTCTGCAAATATTGGCTGTAAAACCTTTCCTTCTTTCTGGCATTACCTAAGTTTTATTTATATAAGAATCCCACTGTTATGGCATTTTAATGCCATAAAATATGACTTTTAGGAAACACATGTACAAATAGTCTTCAACTTACAAACATTCATTTATTGATCATTCAAGATTACAACGGCACTGAAAAAAATGACTTATGATCATTCTTTATGCTTATCACCATTGTGCCCGCCCCATGATCAAGTGATCAAAATTCTGGCGTTTGACATATATTAATGACAGTGGCACCATCTTGGATCATGGGATCGTTATTTGTAATCTTCTCAGCCATCTTCCAAGTAGCAATGTTAATGGGAAAATCCAGATTTACTTAATGACCACATGATTCACTTAACACTGCAGTGATTTGTTCAATAATGGTGACCAAAAATGGTAAAATGAGGCCAAACTCAACTTAACAACTGTCTTGCTTAGCAATGGAAATTTTGGGGTCAGTTATAATTAGAAGTCATTGTGGTCATCTACCTGTATATTCAACACAATGGCAAAACCCAATGGGAAGCACATGCACTATTCATATGAATCAAAATCAAATATATTTTCCTGTTTCAAATTTTTTTAACAAATTAGATAGGTTGTAAATTAATGGAATCTGATACAAATCCAATTATTATACAATGTAGTCCTCTGCTAGTGCCTGTCGAGTATACATATTTACATGAATAGCAATAGCATTTAGACATATATTGCTTCATAGTGCTTTTACAGCCCTCTCTAAGCGGGATACAGAGTCAGCCTATTGCTCCCAACAATCTGGGTCCTCATCTTACCCACCTTGGAAAGATAGAAGGCTGAGTCAACCTTGAGCTGGTGAGATATGAACTGCCAAACTGCAGCTAGCAGTCAGCTGAAGTAGCCTTCAGTACTGCACCAAACCACTGTGCGACCTCGGCCCAGTCCTCTTAATTTAGTCTTCTTAAAGTTTAAAATTAAACTTAAACTTAAAATTGTGGGATATTCGTTAAAGATTCTCTCTCCTTTTAAGAAGTGCTATGCTACCTTTTCATTTAATTTGTTTTCTCTTCTTTAGGTAGGCACGTTTATAATCATTTAAATAAAAGCATGGCAAGAAATGAGTACCAAGATGATAGAGAAGCAAATCTTCTCAGCAACAAATTTTGGAGAGGAGTTTTGTTTGGAAAGGTCCAGTGCCCTAGCAAGTACAGAAAATCTGAAGCCAGCTTCTACTTGTGATATATAAATCAAGAACTATTGTAGATTTTCATGCAAACCGTGCTGTTTTATGTATATTTTATGTACATTAATAGCCACAGTGGGGCAGTGGTTAGAGTGCAGTACTGCAGGCTACTTCTGCTGATCATGGGCTGCCAATCACTGGCATGCAAACCATGTGATTTGCTGATCACCAGCATGCAAACCATGTGATTTGCTGATCACCAGCATGCAAACCATGTGATCTACTGATCACCGGCATGTAAACGATGTGATCTGCTGATCACTGGCATGCAAACATGTGATCTGCTAATCACTGGCATGTAAACCATGTGATTTGCTGATCACCAGCATGCATATCATGTGATCTACTGATCACTGGCATGCAAACCATGCTGTTTTATGTATATTTTATGTATATTAAGAGCCACAGTGGTGCAGTTGTTAGAGTGCAGTACTGCAGGCTACTTCTGCTGATCACTGGCTGCCAGAAGTTTGGCAGATCGAATCTCACCAGGCTCAAGGTTGATTCAGCCTTCCATCCTTCCAAGGTGGGTAAAATGAGGACCCAGATTGTTGGGGAAAATAGGCTACCTCTGTAAACTGCTTAGAGAGGGCGGTAAAGCACTGTGAAGTGATAAATAAGTCTAAGTGCTATGACTATTGCTATGACGCATATCATGTATCATGCTGTTATTGGGTTTGACATTCAAATCTCTGTCTGGATGTGGGGAATAGGTGAATAATTTCTGGTGGCTGAAGGCTACATCAGATAAGGATTATTGACTCACATGGGTTGCAATCTCTCATGTAGGGAAAATTAAAGCTGATTGTTTTAAAGTTTCTAATACATTTTTATGTACTTTCACAAACTATGCAACAAATTCCTAGCAATCACAGCTGCAAATGACTCCAGGGCCTCAAAAACAAGCCATCTGTTATCCACCATTATTTCAGATGCATATTTTCTCATACACCAGCCTCAAAAATAAGGGATGCAGATGAAGAAGGAAAAATTGGGGTAGAAATGCAGCTGGCAGAAATTCTGATTCTTTGATGAAAATAAATATTTTCTTAACAGGAACAACGGTGGGGGTTCGTTACATATAAATTAGGATTTTATTTTGATCCTTGGAATAGTAACTCTGTCAGAGCCTCCATTGATCCCTGTCACTCACTCTTATTCAGAAAGTAGGGATAATTATTTCTCGGCTGTAAAACCTAGAAATAATTGTGGGCATCAATCATATGGGTAAAATGAGGGGTGGGATTCAGCCGGTTCGAGTGAACTGGATGCTAATTTTACATCTGGTTCACCAAACCGGTAGTTGCAAGGACTGGCTGCCCCCCTACCCCTCCCCTCTCCTCCCAGGAGTCTTCACACCACCAGCTTTGGATGCCAGGTAATGGCAGGGCCTGCGCAGAGGCTCTGGGAGGGCAAAAAATGGGCCTCCCAGAAGTTCTGGAAGTCTGAAAATGGGCCTGTTTCCAGCCTCCAGAGGGCCTCCAGGGGAGGCTATTTTGCCCTCCCGGAGGCTCGAGAAAAGCCTCTGAAGCCTGGGGAGGGTGAAAACACCCCCCCCCCAATCATGGTGCAGGAGGCTGAGTAGGCCATGCCCACCTAGCAACCATGCAGATAACCGTTGCTAAAACTTTTGAATCCCACTCCTGGATAAAGTACATATAAGATAGTATGTGGAGCATCAACAAACACCATTAATACAGAAGCGCTCTTTGATTTACATAAATAAGCTCCAATAAGATTATGGAACAGTGCATCAGTTGTAGCTTAGCTTAGCATTTCATCAAAAAGATTTATTTGGCTAAATGTTACATTCATTCATAAAATTTTCAGTGGTTTCAGATCTGAATCTAATTCAGCTGGCATCAATCCAACTAGATGCCATATGCTAATTAAGTCCAACTAGAGCCTTCTTTGGTATTAATGATGCTTTCCTGATTTTTTTTTAATGTTACCTAAACAACTTTCCTCTTACCTATAGTATGTCCAGGTGCAGTTACCCCTGTTCCACTCCCATCCGGTGTTGGGTGGAAAGGCTGTTGTACTTTGGTTCTGATGATCCTGTCGTCATAACACAACAACAACACAGCACATTAGTCTGAGATAGGCACTGCAAATAAAATATTTGATTTTATGTTGACCCATGCACAATGGCCTATATTGATTAAAATAATAGTGATATCAATAAGGGGTGGTATTCATTTACTTTCCCTACCAGTTCACAAATGTGATCGCACATGCCCATCTGTGCATGTGCTCGGCCTTCCATGCACGTGCTTTGATTGTGCATGTGGCTTGCATGCATGTGCACAACTTGAAAACGTGCCTAAATAGGATGGGATAGAGCCAGGGTAGGTGGGCGATTTCCACTACCAATTCAAGTGAACCGGTCTAAACTGGCTGAATACCACCTCTGATAACAATAGTAACACAACTATTATAAGACCAAGAAATTGCAGAGTATCTAAAGAACCTCTGATCATCTGAAACATTTTAGAAATATTTTGTAATTATAAGTAAATCATTTTTATAAATAAATTTAATGTTTTAATCCTTAATAACTGATTAACAGCAGGCATCCATATTCCTTGCTGGTTCACCTAGGAGAGAACCATGGAGCCCAGTGGCGAAATTCAAATTATTTTACTACCGGTTCTGTGGGTGTGGCTTGGTGGGCATGGTGTGGTTTGGTGGGTGTGGTTTGGTGGGTGTGGCAGGGAAAGGAAACTGCAAAATCACCATTCCCACCCCATTCTGGTGCCAGGCAGAGGTGGCATTTGCTGGTTCTCCGAACGACTCAAAATTTCCGCTACCGGTTCTCCGAACTACTCAAAATTTCTGCTACCGGTTCTCCAGAATCTGTCAGAATCTGCTGGATTTCACCCCTGATGGAGCCCCTCTGCACAAATTATTTTCAAAACAAATTATGAAGCAAATTGCAAAAAAGGTGTAAACCTGACATCAGCTAAAGAAAGATTCATAGATACCCAGATACCCATTACATAGGTTTTTTTGGAGTACGCAATATTATATAAAATGAAAACAATAGGAACTAATTAGCAAAAAAAAACGTTGAATGTGAGAGATAAGAGAAAATGATATGCGTCTAAATTTAATTTACGCTGACATTATGCACCATAACCCTCCATAACTTAGCATTCTTCTTACCCAGCCTTGTTTCCACTATGCCTATACATTGGTTCATACATTTCTTTTTAATATTTTAGCTTTTCACATCACTTATTTTTTATTTATTATATTTATATACCATCAAATATTGTGACTTAGCATTCTACAAAGATATAGCATATGACATATTCACAATGGGGGGAAAAGCAAGCGATTAAATCAAAGGACCTGATTATGACATTCATACTTCCAAAGCCTCCTGGAATAATTCAGTTTTTACTAGTTTCTGATTTACTAATTCTTCCCATTTCAGTGAGCCCAGGCCATCCTAGAGAAATAAGATCTTGCTCCTTGAATGCAGCCTTGGTGTAATATGATCATCAGCATTGAGCATCTGCCAACATGCAGGAGGCGGCTGCATTCTGAACTAACTGTAAGGTAAAGGTAAAGGTTTCCCTCGCACATATGTGCAAGTCGTTCCCGATTCTAGGGGGCGGTGCTCATCTCCATTTCAAAGCTGAAGAGACAGCGCTGTCTGAAGACATCTCTGTGGTCATGTGGACGGCATGACTAAACGCCAAAAGCGCATGGAATGCTGTTCCCACCAAAGGTGGTTCCTATTTTTCTACTTGCATTTTTTACATGCTTTCGAACTGCTAGGTTGGCAGGAGCTGTGATGAGTAATGGGAGCTCACTCTATTATGCGGCGCTAGGGATTCAAACTACCAAACTGCTGACCTTTCTGATCGACAAGCTCAGCATCTTAGCCACTGAGCCACCCCATCCCTGTGAAACTAGTAGTAGTTTCCAAAAAAGCCTCAAGGGCATTCTTGGCTTACAACCGTTTGTTTAGTGACCATTTGAAGTTACAATGACACTGAAAAAAGTGACCTATGACCATTTTTCACACTTACAACTGTTGCAGCATCCACATAGCCACATAATCAAAATTTGGACCTTTGGCAACTGGCATGTATGTATGGCAATTTAACCTTGGGGCTGATGAGTTCCTGTCCCCGCTCGAATGGTGTGTCTGTTGAGTTGCTTTTAAATTGTGGTATTGTCTGTCCATGTCTTTTTCTTCCTATTTGTATCCCCTACCCCCCCTGACTTGGGTTGTGAGCCGCCCTGAGTCCCCTCGGGGAAAAGGGCGGCATAGAAATATAATAAATTCAATTCAATTCAACCTATGTTCCTTTATTTCCATCTTCACTCTATCTCTTGTTACTTGACAACACAATCTTATTAAGCCACATAGATCTACATTCAATTTTATAGAAGGAACCTGAGGATGTTATCTCAAAGCTCCTTTCTGAAACCATGGAGGATGGACCGGGGTGAAATGCTACCAGTTCGGACCGGTTCGCCCAAACAAAAAAATGCTTCCAGTTCAGGCGAACTGGTATTTCCGATGATCAGCTGTGACGTGCAATTTATATTAGCTAGAAAGCAGGATTTCCTGGTTTCTGGATATGAGATTTGGAGAAAGGCAAATGTTGCTTATATTTCAAAAACAGGAAAGAGACCCAAGAGATGGCAGATTCGACAGCTTGAAAGTGATTCTGGACAAAAGGGTGGGACAGTTTTTAAGCAGTTGGTTTGTATGGCCTTAGTAAAGCATGCATAACATGGCAGGGGCCTGCGTGAGTTTATCAAGAAGAGTTTATTCCAAATCAACCTAAACCTTGTAAGAAAGAAGAGCAAGGGGGGGTGTCAAAAAGCAGCTATTTTTTAAGTTATCTGAAGGAATGTCAAATGAAAGAGGAGGGGGTATTGTTCTCTCTTGCTTCAGTAGGCAGGACCAAAAATTCCAGGAAAGTAAATTTAGGTTACATTGTTCGGATGAATTTTCTGAAAATAAAAGTGCCAGCTTATTTATTTATAAATGCATTTGATTTCTATAGCCATCCATCCATCCATCTCTATAAGTGACTCTGATAAAGTGAAAGAGGTACCTCACAAAGTAGCATATTCACCTTAACTGCAGATCTTCCACCATAGCCATCTGACTAACATATTTTGCAGATCTTACATGGAACAGATGGGTAGAGCTGTCAGACATCTTCCAGTTCTTTGACTCTACAATATGTAGAACCTCTGTTTACCCCTGAGCTCAATCAGATCAGAAATCTATTCCTAAAAAGAAATAGCTATTTGGAAGCTACTGATCTACTAACCTACCACATCATTTCGGAATTTGTGCATGAATGTATGCACTGATGAAAAAAAGATGGAGGTGCCAGCTGCAGTGCCGCCATGCTTATTGCCCCATGCTTGAAAAATATCATTTCAATGATAATTGAATGTGTGGATATAGTCTCTTTCCCTGTCCATTCATGCTTAGTAACAGTTTCTCCATTAAATCCTCTCACACTGTTTGATTTTCTCCAAATGGATACTCACGCTCTGGTAGATTTTAATTGTAATTGTCTTTTTTTTTCTTTTTAATGGATAGAAATTATTGTTTTTAAATCTCTTATTGTTTAGGGTTTTGTAAGCCACTGAGTCTTGGTTGATTAAAATGACATAGAAGCCTTAGTAAATAAATACAATAAATATATTTTAAAACTCATATTTGGCACCAGTGGTGGGATTCAATTTTTTTTACTATCGGTTCTGTGGGTGTGGCTTGGTGGGCATGGCACGGCTTGGTGGGCGTGGCAGGGAAGGATACTGTAAAATCTCCATTTCCACCTCACTCCAGGGGAAGGTTACTGCAAAATCCCCATTTCCTCCCGATCAGCTGGGACTTGGGAGGCAGACAATAGATGGGGCGGGGCCAGCCAGAGGTGATATTTACTGGCTCTCCGAACTACTCAAAATTCCCACTACTGGTTCTCCAGAACTGGTCAGAACTTGCTGAATACCACCTCTGTTTGACACTCTCATCTGAGCGTGTCAACTATTTTTTCTTCTCAGTCTGCAAAGATGTTCGTCACCAAAAAAAGAAAATCACAATCATTGACATCATTACTATTACAATTTCTATCCCTATGCCCTTCCACCATCTCAACCTTTTTCTCATGACCTACAATAGCTGTCAGGTTTCCATATAACATCCCCAATGACTGAAGACTCCGAGACTTGAAGTTCCTCAAAGTTCCATTTTATTAGAGATGTCATATTGGCACATCTGGGAAAGCCCGAATCTGAAAGCTTCCAGGTTTTCTCCACCCAAAATAAAGTCCAAGCACCTACCCAGCACCCACATGTCATCACATGGCCCAATGAGGCACCATCCCAACTGGAGATACCTCCTAATCATACCCTTCCAGGTGCAGGACAAATTGCCCTTGACTCTCTGAGAAAGGAACATTATTATGACTATATATCTCTCCCCAGCTCCAAACAATCCCTCCTTCCCAGTTTCCCACAGACTAAATGTGGCAAGCCTGAAGATCTAATGCCCAAGATGGCTTACAGGCCTGACACTAGCATTACAGCTCACAGCCATGTTACCCCTGTAGTTTAGGCAGAGACATTGGGCTTATCTTTCTCTGTTTCCATTCTCTGCAGAAAGAGAAATACATACTGTATGGAAAATCAAAAGCTCGAAAAATTCATAAGTGCCTGAAAAATTGGTGAAAGTGAAGATGGTCTTGGAGGTAACTTTCTCAATTTGTGTCCTACAGATGGGTGGACTTCAACTTCTAGCTTACTCAGCAGATTTGTTGCATTCTGCATTTCTCTCCAAAATGATACTCAGATCAGTTAGGAATTCTTTCATCTGACTTTTTTTTATCCATTTCATCTGGATTTAAAATAAATTGTTATCCGTTCACCAGGATATATTTGTTGAAAACAACCTTGAATTCTTGAGCATTTTAATCATTAGCAGGAATATGTTGTAGGAGGTCTCAAGGTGACTCATTGAAAGGATGGAAGGCTGAGTAGACCTTGAGCCTGGTGAGATTTGAACTGCCAAATTGCAGGCAGCCGACAGCCAGCAGAAGTAGCCTGCAGTACTGCACTCAAACCACTGCACCACCGTGACTCATATACTACTCAGATACATTACAACATCCTAGATTTTTTGGAAGAACTTGATTCATATGCAGGCCAATCAGAGCTAGGAACTAGCATCCATGATTTCGTGTTGTTATGTGCATCTCCATCATCATGATATATTCAACTTGTACGCTGCCTGTCAGTGACTCTGAAGAAACTAGCAATACAAAAAGGGAAACGGGTGCGTTTTAGCTTCTACACTGCAGTTTTTCCTCTCCCTGGAAAAATCCTCATAGAGATCTACAAATCTATAGAATAGATAAGCTCGATTTCAAACTCAATTTCATTAAGAGCCTCATCAGGGTCGTATTTGACCTTGGGGGAGGGCAGTGGGTGTGGCTGGCATGGGCGTGGTCAGTTTGACATCCTGCAGCTCTCTGCCAGTGGAAACAGAGCCCGGTAAGTCCACGTGCAGCTTTGGCTGTGATGGCCTGCTGCAGCCCTTTGCCAATGAAAATGGAGCCCGGGAGGGCCGCATGCAGCCCTCTCGGGCTTTGATTTCAGCTGTGAAGGCCTCTGCAGCCCTCTGCCAGCAAAAATGGAGCCTGGGAGAACCACACACAGTCTTCCTGATCTGTGTTTTGGCTGAAGCACCATGGGCCAGTCATTCATTGTTTCCAGGATGGCCCTGTGGACCAGATCTAAGCACCCTGTGGGCCACATCCAGCCTGCAGACCTTGAGTTTAACACCCCTGCACTACAATGACAAGATAAATTTTTAGCACTAATAAAACAAATCCTTTAACTACATTGATCATCAATAATGAAATTTTAAATAACGATATGGTTTAATATTTATTCCCCAAGATTTCACAGGACAGTGAATACCGTTTGGGGGCCAATACCAGTCATAAACTAACCTGGTATTCTCACACTAATTTAAACATACAGAAAGACCTGGAAAGAGAGCAAAAGAGGATCACAAACTGGTTAATGGCCCGGCGTTAAGGAAATAACTGTTCCAAGGCACAACTAATGCATCACAACTAAGTTCAATGCCTGGAATGCTCTACCTGATTACATTGTTACAGCCTCAAACCCTCACAGCTTCAATCTCAAGCTGTCTATCGTGGACCTCACCCCATTCCTAAGAAGTCCATAAAGGGGGCGTGCATAAGCGCACCAGCGTGGCTACTTTCCCTGTGCTACTATCCCAATTTACTTGTATTCATTTCCTTTGTTTATGCCCATGTTCATACTTATACCTGCTATCCTGTATATGTTTGACAAACAGATAGATAGATAGATAGATAGATAGATAGATAGATAGATAGATAGATAGATAGATAGATAGATAGATAGATAGATAGATAATCAAAGAATCGATAAGAAATGGTTTAAACCCCAGGGTTTAAGTTCCATTCTGGGAATCACCAAGCCACTTAGAATAATCGGGTGCTGCCCAGGTATATATTTATCCCAACCCTCCTTTCATGAACGTCGCCGCATTTTCTAATGTTGGATTTTCCCCCTTACCAGAGGGAGCCCTCTTGTGGAGTACTGGGAAGCTGTTACCACGGCAACTCCACAGCACTGTACAGTAGAAGCCATTTTACAGCAGTATGGTAGAAGCCATTTTAAGGTACAACAGGGTGTATCTTAACAGAACACAAACCCCATGGGGTGTTAGGGGTGTCTTTCCCACATAGTATTTGTTTCCAGAGAATAAGCCATCTGTGTACTAACTGGTTGAAATTGCTCGAGGTGTTCCAGAGATGCGGGAACACACACACACACACACACACACACACACACACACACACACACACACACACACGAAAGAAGAAAGAAGAGGAGGAGGAGATTCTGTCCCTTTAAATCTTCAAATT